GACACCACGGTGCCTGCTTGCCCTTCGACTTCCGAAGCAGGGACAAACCAGAGTAGATAGTTGAGCCTACCAACCTGTAGTGGGTGAATTCTCAGTGTTGTGCGGGTACTACTTTTCCCTTGGGCTATTACTCTCATCACGCACATTTGAATTTTATATTTTTGTCTATGGATGTGGAATGAAAAGTTTAGTGTCTTTGAAGGAATGAATATCGGCATCACTGACTAGGGGTTGGGGGAGCTTTAGGGAAAGGACTCGTGGACAGGTGCTCTAGAAATCACAGGACATGATTAGTTAGTCCTAAGCTGGCTGCCTATAACACAGAGCCCAAAATAACAGTGGCAAAAACTCATAGGGATGTATTTTTCTCTTACTCATGCACACACACATGGAATTAAACAGTCTAGTTTTGGCACAGTGACCCACAAGCGTCCTAGACTGGCCTTCTCTTATCTTCCTGCTCCCCCATCCCTAGCTGGAGGCATTGTCCTCAAGGGCACTTCATGGTCTAAAATGGCTGCTGGAGCTCTGACCATCATGACCATATTTCAGTTAATAAAAAGGAATTTGAGAAAAGTGACTTATCAACTGGAGACCTTGCCAAGTGTCCCATTAGTAAGGATACTGGGTCAATGCCTTGGAGTTTATGCCACATATGACTACAGGAAACTCACACTGGGCCTGTTAAGGTGGTTCTTGGTAGGTTGGTGAAAGGGGTCGTATGGGAGGTGTCACCTTACTCGCAGGCTCTGTGAAGCTGGAGACCTCATCCCACAGGCATTTCTGTGGGGTCACAGCTACATGTGTCTTTTGTTAGCATTGGCTCCATTTCATGAACTCAAACCCACTCTACACGCGCAGTGATCGCACGTTGGCTTCTTCCCCGTAGTATTTTCTTCTGGCCTTCCTGGCCGTGGCCCTTCCCACCTTCCATGTTTCCGCTCCGAGACTCCTGGCTGCCAGAGATTCAGGCTGCCCCAGTTGGATCACCCTCTGATTCCCATGGAGGCTTTGCTGTTCCTCCCTGCCCGGGCCCTGTCGAGGTCACATGGCCACAAGTCTCCAGCTCCTCAGAATCCAGGATCCCAAGGATGGGGAGCAGAATGTTGCTGCTCACAGAACCCTAAGTGGGAGAAAAGAATACTGGGAGTGTCTTGCCTGGGTCTGCCATAGATTGGGCTTGCAAACTATTGACCATGAGCTGACACTGATTGTAAAAACTCGAGATCCAACACAACAATCTCCTTTTGGGATTGTGATACGGTTAAACTGGGCCCTGCTGTGCATCAGCCCTGTTGGCTCCAGAGAATCCTGCCGTTTGCCTTGAAAGAAGCAACAGTGTGAAAATGCTGTTGCTGCCTGCCTCACCTGTGCCCAGTACCTCCCAGCATCCTGAGCACGAACATGTGTGCAGGTGTGTTGCCAAGGCCACTTGCTTGATGGCAGAAGTGTAGATTTTCCCGTGTCCTTAGTCTTCACGGTCAGCTGCTCTGTGCAGAGTGACCATTTATCCGCGACTGTCAGGCCAGTAATCCTAGCTCCTCAGGAAGCCAAGGCAGGAAGATAGAAAGTTCAAGGCCAGCCCAAGTAACTTAAAAGGGCTTGGGATATAGCTCAGGAGTCAAGTGCTTGCCTAGCATGTGTGAGGCCTGGGGTTTGATTTCTACAGCTATGAAATAGAAAAAGAGAGGGAAAGGAAGATGAAAGGATGAGACAAAGGAGAGAGAGAAATGAAGAAAGGAGAGGAGGGGAGGGGAAGGGAGGAGAGGAAAGGGAAGGGAAGCCTGTAAGGACACATTTGACTCAATCATTAAGGTTCTCAAATGCCTGGGAAAAGAATTTGAACTTCACCATGACTGCTTGCCACCACTCCATCCTCCCAGTCTCCATTCTGTGCCCATATGGGGTGGCTCCTCTTCATTTCCCACTTGCTAGGACCTAACACAGAAACAAGCCAGGCAAGGATTTTGTGGGGTTGTTGTTCTACTCTTGTAGCCCTGATCTAAGACACAGCCTCAGAAAGTTGATCCCAGATGTTCAGGTGGCCTAGTGTGTCAGTCTACTTTCTGTCACTGTAACAAAAGATCTGAGGCAGTTTACTTACAAAGAGAAAAGGTTTGTGTTGGCTCACAGTTTTGGAGGTTCCAGTCTGTCATCAAGTGGGCCTGTTGCTTGGGGCCTGTGGTGAAGCAGCATGTCATGGTGGTAGCCTGTGGTGGAGCAAACTGCTCACCTGAAGAGAGGAAGAAGTAGGGGTGCACCCTTCATGGGCACCTCCTCAATGACCTAAGAGTCTCCCATAATACTCCGACTCTCAAAGGTTCCACCTCTTCCCAGTAGTGTCACCTTGGCCCAAGCCACTGCAGAACATTCAGTATCCAAACTGCACTGAAAGGGATGATCTGAGACCACAGGAGAGAGGTACCTGGTGACCCAAGGTCCCTACTGAGGCCTCCCTGTGGAGGGAGTGGAGGATGGAGTTAAGGGAGGGCTTGGGATTGACACTGCTCAGCCTTCTTAAGTTGTGATCTTTCCTGTGCAAGTGATAGAATGAAAACCAAGTCCCATCTGGCTTGCAGGATGCCAGGATCCATTTTAATCTCACAACATACACCAACAGGAAGTTGGCAGTACAATTTCTCAACCCTCCTCAGAGAGTCCATTTGTACAAAAATTTATGGGACCAAAGCTCCCTTTCTCATTGCGTCTTTTCTAATTTGTTCCCAGCTCAGCCCCCAGCCCACCGATCCATTCTCCCCCAAATCCAAACCTCATGCTAAGCAGCAGGATCCATCACCACAGGAAGCCAAGAAGGGATTTGAGGGGTATCTTCAGGGAAGACTTGGGAGATTTGTCCAATGACTGTATGCTCCACTGGGGAATGCTTGTGTCTCGGATATTCAAACAACCAGCTCCCTGTGAGTCAGGATGCTCTAGAAGGCTCAGGCTTCCTCCTAAATGTCTCCATTAACTCCGGAAAATAAACAGTTACAGGGATCCACATGGCTAATAGGAAACAGCCACAGCTCTCCTTGCACTATGATCCCAAGATACTTAGGTGTGGGAATGTACGATGTTAGAATGTTCCTTGCTTGTCATGGAGACTAGGGAAGAGCGAGCTTCATGAGAAAGTGGTCAGCAGTGCCACACAGTCCAAACACAAATGTCCAAGGCGTGTGAAGACAGGACTGAGCTGGAGTTTTGGGAAAGGGAAGACACCGCGAAGCCTCAGGAGGGGAGTGGGGTTGGAAGGGACAGCCTGGGGTTCCAGAAGGAACCTGATGTGGATAGAGGGAGGGGACTTCACGGCCCACTGTTCCATCAAGTGTGACTTGGCTGCATGTCCTGGGTCAACAGAGGCAGAATTGAGGATGAAGACCAGGGTCAGCAAGATGTGAGTTACTTATTAAAAGCGTGAAACAGGCCCAAGAGTGTAGCTCAGTTATTTGTCTAGTATGTGTAAGGCCCTGGGTTTGAGCTCTGGCACTGGGCAAAAAAAGTTAAATAGTGAAGGAAAAGAGAAATAAGACCAGGAGAGAACTTTGCTTGTCTCTGTTTTGCTGAGAGGGAGACTGGGGAGAATATCTGCTTGTCTCTGCTGCAGCGTTATTTTGAGGGGCTGGAGCGGGCTTTGAGGGTGGCTTTCATCTGCAGTGTATGTGATAAGCCACCAGATGGTGTTCCAGATCCCGAGAGTAACAGCCATTGTTTCAGGACTTTGCTAGCAAAATAGATCTAACGTTAGCTTCTAACCATGGGACAATTCCGAAAGCTAAATATCACACAAAAGGCAAACAATTGAAGGAAATAGGTCCCAAGTTAGAAGAGCATGATTTGGTCATTTTCTGCCATTCACTGATCAAAAGTCATGACCACTCTGTGTACAACTGTCTCTAAACCCCTTGTCTGGGCTGGGCTTATCCAGGGGGATGTTTCTCCCCTCTCAGCCCCAAACCAGGGGGACCTGCTCCCAAGATGGGGACTCCCCTTGACTGTCTCCGAGCTCTGACAAGAGGGCGGCCTGCTTCACTGGGGCGCCAGCGCTGCCCGTGTTTACCCTGGCTGTGCATGAATGGATGATTTAATCGCCTCCCTAAGGCTGACATGGAACTGGGTAGTACTGAAGAGGGGCTGCTTATTAACCACAGAGCCGTGTTACAGAAATGTTTGGTTGCTTTCCTCTTATTGTGTTGAAGTCGCAGGAGAGAGGGACGTGAAAGAGGCTGGAGAGGAGAGGGTTGAGCTGGGAGAGGTCCTGGAGTACAGATACTTCACGGAGAACAAGGCCAGGCAAGGTCGCGGCCCCAAGGGGCACGGGAGGCCAGGCAGAGCCGCAGAGGTTGGAAGGCTGTTGCCTGGCTACAGCTGAGTCCGGGCAAAGGGACTGAGGGCTGCCTGGCCCACACCTCACTGCGGGAAGATGCCAGTCCGTAGGCAGAGCAGTGTCGGGGACTGGGAACAGCTGGGCAGGGTGAGACTGGCAGCCTCCTGTGCCCCGGTGTTCCCTCTCCTGACGCTCTGCCTCTAAGTGTCTAAAAAGGGAAACACTGCAGGGTGGTGGAGCTGGGAATCACAGACACTCAGAGGCCTTGGAGGCCACCTCTCCGTGCTGCCTCTCACAGGGAGGAACTGAGGCCCTGGAATAAAACCGCCCAGCCAGGGCCACACGGAAAAGCCAGGTCTCGGCCTGCATCCCTGCCTTCCCTGCGGGACTGCCCCAGCCCGGGGACTGGCCCCATACGGAGTGGCTGAGGGGAAGGCCTTTCGAGGGGAGAGCAGCCAGAGAGGCTGAGGAGGCCTAGGGGAGGGCAAGCGAGGCTCGGCACAGACTTGGGGGCGGGAGGCTGAGGTCACGGAGACTGGGGGCGTTACTGGTGTTGGGCACACCCAGGGCCCAGACGGCAGCTCTCTTCCCCAGGGTCATCCGGGAACCTCATCCGGGAACTTCCCACCTGATCGACCAGGCCCATGAACTCTATCTCTTTGTTGTTGGCCCACAGGAATCTCCTACCAGCGACTGGTGAGAGCTGAGCAGGGTCTGCCCCTCAGGAGTCACCGAAGTTCCACAGTGTGAGTGTCCAGAGAAGGAGTACATGGGGCCAGGACCTCCCACCCTATACCATCGTGTCACTGCGCCCACTCCCATGCCAGGCACAAAATACCAGGCTTCAAGGGGAACAGGTAGCCCGTAGAATTATGAGTGGTATTTTTATGCATAACTTCACTGTTCTGGGCTGAGCGTCTTCCTGCAGATCCTGAAAAAGGTCTGCAGCAATCATGCCAGGTGCTGGGAATACATTATACATTCATCTCTACTTTCTAGATGAGGAAACTGAAGGTCAGAGAGGCCAAGTAACTTCCCCAAGGTCACACAGCGGCTGAACAAACATTTCAATCTCTAATCTTATATAAAAGCCTATGCCCATTCCACAATGTCTTCTGTTACTATACAATAGCATTTTCCAAATGTTTCTGAAAAGAGCTTATAATTAAAAATGCATTTTATGTGATAGTCTGGGACACACACACACACACACACACAGATAAACAAGTTTCGTGGAATGAAACTTAATGCTACCACCTAGGACAAGCTCTCTGCCCTAATCTACGTCATTTCATTTAAATAATACGTTCTGGCTGGGACTTCCCAGACTGATTTTATTACCCACTCCTAGGGTACTGGCCTGCAGTCTGAAGAGTAGTAGAAAAAAAAGCACCATCCAGAGGCCCCTCTGAAGGCCTGGAAGTGGATGGGTACCATCTGTCTGCGTCACTGGCATGTTGGGAGCCCCAGGAGCCCAGCCTCCAGCAGCTCAGAGATTCTAGCAGCCCCATCCCTCCTCCTCCACAGCCTGAGGGGTTCACTGCACAACCACACCACAAATAAATGCTCCTGAGACACTTGAAACAGGCCTAGAGCAAGCACACAGGGAAGCCTTGTGGTAGGTGTCAAAAGAGACAGGAAGGACGTAAGAATGTTGTACGGCAATGTCCTCTTTTCCCCTGGGAACACATTGCCTGGAACTGTGGATAGTACCGAGCCCTACCTACAGAGGTGATCAAAAAATACAGTGAACGTTTAAACCATTTTCAACTTGTTACAGTAAGAGACACATTGCCAAGAACAACGGAATAAGTATGTTCAAAGTAAGAGGGATTAATGGTGATGTGTCTTTTACTGAAATAATTTAAAAATGTAAACATTCATTATATTTTTGATTACCCTTCAGGTTCTAAGAAATTTCACCTCTTCACATAATCTCTTCAGTGTCTCTGAAATGCCAGCATCATTCCTCTCGCACTTTGGGGCCATTATTAAGTAAAATAAGGCTTGCTTGAGCCCAAACACAGTTGATGTGATCATTGCGACTAACGAGAGGGTAGTGCACACAGTTCGGATGTGCTGGACAAGGGATGAGTCACGTCCCAGTGGGATGAAACTGCTCCGCCTGACACTTCACCACGCTGCTCAGAATGGTGCACCGTTTAACACTGATGAGTTATTTATTCCTGGGAGTTTTTATTTCATATTTTCAGAACATGGCTAACTGCAGGAAACTGAAACCTGAGATAAGGGGGACTACTGAGTTTAGCAAATTTAAAAAGACACCTTTAGGAAGCTGAGGCAGATAGGCTGGTAAGTAGCCACCAACACCTTTCATGCAATTGCCGGGCTCTGGGCACTATTCTTATCATCCGTACATATATTAATTTATTTAATCCTCAAGTTAACTCTGTGAGAAAGGTGTTTTCCAGGTAAGGGAACTGAGGCCCAGGGAGGCTAGTGGGAAGGGCTGAGAGCTTCATAATCTATAAACTGGGAATGATGACAAGGTCTTTAGCAGAGAAATCCTGCAGGTCAGCAAGGGCAGGGGCTTGTCCAGTCTGGCCTACCCATGCTCGGCACACATCCAGGAAAGGACCACCCAGTGCTCAGCAAGGGAAAGGGGCTCTGCCTCCTTTGTCTCACAACTGGAGAAATCAGCATCAGTTTCTCTCTCCTCGATGTGGGTTCTGCCCTGTCTCCATGCCCTAGGACAGATATCCACAGAGCCTGGAGGGACCTGTACCTGCACGGTGCTACTTCACCTTGGGTTTCAACACAGTGTGGAATTGTGAGAGGGGGAGCGCAGGCTGAATAGTCCCTACTAGCGCACCTACAGATATAACCCCACGCAGGCTCCAACTCGCTCTGAGGTCACACAGTGCTGCTGGAGCTGGCAGCGGGCAGTGACAAGGCTCCCTGGTAACTGTTCCCAGAACCTTGGGCTTCACAATTCTCTTAACCTTTGGGTGTGTCTGAAAGTGCCCATAATAAAGAAATTTAAACAATGACACCAAAAGGGAATCTATAGAACTAGCAGGAAGAGGGGTGGTGCAACACTCTTCTCCCAGTCTGATGCTAGCCTGCTTTGAGCTAATCAAAAAGGTGTTCTCACAAGCAGAGGAAACAGATGCCACCCGGTGCCATGAGGATTTTTAGCACATGTGCACACACACACACACACACACACACACACACGCACAGCCCACCCCTGTGAATGGTTACTTGGCTTCAGGACCTTGACTAAACTCCTCTTTTGAGTAATTTGCATCCACTCAGATGTCCAGTAGGAAAAAAATGTTTATATAAAAAGCAGGGTAAAATGCATTTTTAAAGTTAACCTCAGTTTCGAAAAGGTCTTTGAAAGCTCCGGCTAAAAAATACTCAGAAGTCAACTTCATGTGTCCCTCTTGGAAAGCGGCCCCTCCGGCCCCTCCGGCCCCTCCGCCTTTCTCCTGGCCTCTTGCTGTCACTTGCTCAGGCCTCTCTGGCATGTGAGGAAATCCAGGGCATGCTGTACCGTGGCCTACAGCCTGTCCCACAGCTGGCCTTCTCTGTCCCCAGCACGGTGCTGCTGCTGAACCCAGTGGAGGTGGAGGCCGAATTCCTTGCCGTGGCCGACAAGCTGAGTGCACCCGAGCACTCACCCCATAGTGCCTACACTACTTTGCTCCTGCATGCCTTCCAGGCCACCTTTGGGGCCCACTGTGACCTTCCAGGCCTGCATAGCAAGCTGCAGGTAGGGACCTGGGGCCCTGAAAAAGCGTATCTCAACAGGCCCAGCCCCCTCTCTGCTGCCTTCTCTGGAGTGCACTGGCCTCCCTCAACCCAAGGGTCATGGCTGGACACAGGTTAGAGGGCAGAGTCAGACAGCAACCTGGGGAGTGGGGCTGGGACCTGATGCCTCCGAAGGGACTTAGCCTGACAGTGGGAGTGAGCCTAGGATGGAGGGCCGGCTGCTAGTCCTGGCTTTGTGATCAGTAAGCTGCGTTAGCCCCTTCCCCTCTGGGGCACAGTGAGGAATCTGGAGTCTGTCCTGCTCTGCAGTGCCCCCGCCCCTGGGCCTTTCTCTCCTGACCATTTCTCAAGAGTATAGAGGAGGGAGAGGGAGGCCTAGCTCCCTGGATGGCCATCAAAGAGGTGGGCAATGAGATCGGGCACCAGACTGGTCACTGCTGCCCTTGGTGAGCCCCTGGAAGCTGACTATGGCAGGCAGCCAGGCCACAGGGCAGGAGTAAACTCTGTCTTTTCCTGGCCTTTCAGTCGAAGACCCTGGCAGAGCTCGAGGACATCTTCACAGAGACGGCAGAAGCGCAGGAGTTGGCATCCAGCATCAGGGATGCAACGGAAGCCCGCCAGTGGCTCAAGACAAAGCTGCAGGCAGTAGGAGAAAAGGCCGGCTTCCCTGGGGTCTTAGGTGAGGCTCTGGGGACACGGAACTCTCCCCAGTTTCTCCATCCCAGGGTGTGCAGTCCAGTGGGCCTGAGGACTCACTCCCCACTGCCTGCCAGGATCTGGGTTCCTCACCCTCTCCCTGCTCCCCCCGCAAGTCCCCAGGCATCTCTCCCATCTGCAGTTGTGGGCCGTGGACAGACGAATGGACAGGGCTTAGGGCTCACCAGAGGCACAGAGCTCGGGGGTTTAGGTGAAGACATTGCAGAAGCTGCACACCTGCCTTCTGCATGGGTTCCTTCGAGTCCAGCTCTGTCACATGAAGTGTTCCGGGAACATGTTCTTCCTACAACCTTCCTACCATACAATAAAGGAGCACAGGCTCTGAGGACCAGTTAGTAGTTTTTATACATGTCGTATAGAAACCTTGTAAGGTAGTTCTGTTCTCCCATGTGGACATGGTAAGAGGATGCTCAGAAGCTCTGACTTGGCCATCTCTTCAAAGCTAGTAAAGGGTGTGCCTCCCAGAAGGCCCTCCAGGCAGGAGTCGGGCATCCCTGCTGTAACTCAGCCTCGGCCCATCCAGCCCCCTGGCCTCCTGCCAGTGCTGTTCCAAGTCTGAAATTTTCTCTAAGGCAAGGGGACTGGGTAGCCATTCTCCAGGGTCCCTTCTCAGCCCCCTTCTCCTGCCCTCCCTGTGCTAACAGACACTGCAAACCCTGGGAAGCTCCACACCATCCCCATCCCTGTCGCCAGGTGCTATACCTACAGCTGGAACCAGGACAGCTTTGGTAAGGAGTGGGCTGGGCCCTGGGAGCACCCAACCCCACAGTGCCCAAGCTCTCCTTCTGGCCCTCTCACTCCCACACACTCCGCTAAGCAGAGCAGGGTGTCACTCTGAGTCCTGTGCCAGCCCTGACCCCCTCCTGCTCTTCCTCAAGCCTGCAGGCACCCGTTGCCTTTGCACAGGAATTCAAGGGCCCCCACCCAGATGGTGCCCTTGCCTCCCTGCAGACGTCCTGCAGGAAATCCTACTGAAGGAACAGGAGCTGCTACAGCCGGGGATCCTGGGGGACGATGAGGAGGAGGAAGAGGAAGAGGAAGAGGAAGAGGAGGAGGAGGAAGAGGACTTGGAAACCCATGGGCATTGTGCTGAGAGGGACTCACTGCTCTCCACCATTTCTTTTGCATCTCACGACTCCACCCTGTCCCTTGCCTCTTCCCAAGCCTCAGGGCCAGCGCTCTCCCGGCACCTGCTGACCTCCTTTGTCTCGGGCCTCTCAGATGCCATGGACAGTGGCTACATGGAGGACAGTGAAGAGAGTTCCTCTGAGTGGCCCAAAAAGCCTGGCAGCGAGGGGCACCGGGGTCACCGCAGGCCCAGGCAGAAATTCAACAGGATCTATAAACTCTTCAAGAGCACCAGCCAACTGGTGCTGCGGAGGGATGCTCGGGGCCTGGAGAACAGCCCGGACACAGCCCTGCCCCTGCGGCGAGCAGGAAGCCTCTGCAGCCCCCTGGACATTCCGGTGCAGCTCCACTCCCGGGCCCAGCGCTCACAGTCCCTGCCCCAGCCCCAGCTCAGCGCCCAGCTGCCTCGCTGGCTCCTGGCCCCCTCTTTGTGCCACCAGCGCCGCCGCCCCTTTTTGAGTGGGGATGAGGACCCCAAGGCTTCCACACTACGGGTTGTTGTCTTCGGCTCTGATCGGATTTCAGGGAAGGTGGCTCGGGCATACAGTAACCTCCGGTAAGAGCCCAATGTCACACATTGCTCGGATCTGTGTAGTAGAGTTGTTATGCTGGTAGAAACCAGGGCTGAGGCTTAAGGTCTCCAAGTGACCCAGGGTTCATGTCTCTCCATCTTTTCTTTGCCAGGAGGCTGGAGAACACTCACCCACTCCTCACTCGGTTCTTCAAGCTTCAGTTCTTCTACGTGCCTGTGAAGCGAAGCCATAGTACTGGCACTAGTGCCTGCCCAGCCTCTCCAAACAAGGCATCTCCACTCCCCACAGACTCCCTGCGACACCCTAGTCCCACAGTATGTCCCCACGGGCCAAATGGGGAGGGCGAGTGTAGTGGGCATGAGGGGATTCCGGGAACTTAAAGGGGGGCTGGGCAGGAGCTATCAAGAGCAATCACCTGTGTCTACAGAGTGCCTCTGTCTGCCTAACCTCACTCTCAGGTCCCTGCTCCGTACTTGGGCATGACATTTTGCCATATGACAATGATTGAAAGTTGTCACACTTTTTCAAGGGCGGGGAGAAGCTCAGTCTGGGGCTGCAGTTATACTCCCAGGCCCTGCAGCTGGAATGGCCAGGCCTCCTGGGTAGCTAGGAATGGCTCTCATCCTTTATCCCAGGAGCTGGGCACAGGCCCATGGGAGGACAGCACCAATGACATCTCCCACTACCTCGGCATGCTTGACCCCTGGTATGAGCGCAACGTGCTGGGCCTCATGAACCTGCCCCCTGAGGTCCTGTGCCAGGTAAATGGCCCATGGGGTTGGGTTTGAGAGCCCACTGGCTGCTGTCACTGCACCTCACTTAGAAAGCGCTGGCTTTGGGGGGACGCTGCTTGAGGCCTCCATGGAGGACCGGGACTCACTTGGGAAAAAGCAGAGGGTGAGTGAGAAGCAGGATAGAGACTAAACTCAGGGTGCTGGGGGCAAGACATGGGTCACTAGAGTGACAGGAGAGGGTCTTCAGAAGTGTTCTTGAAGCTTCGATTTTGCTTCTTTCCTCAACCACTGGCTTGTCCAGCTTGGCCAGGGCCTCCTGGGGGACTGTATGCCAGGTGAGGGGTGTAGGGAAGCGTCTCCCTACCCCACCCCTCTCCTGCTTCCATCTCACCTTCTCTCTCCCCCGCTGTCTGCCTCTGCCTGTGTGCCTTTGCCTCCCTTCTCGTGGCCCTTTCTCTCTCCTGGCTCTGTCTCCCTCTGTCTCCTCTGGCCTGTCTCCCGCACCGGCCACAGCACTCCCTGAAGGCTGAATCCAGGCCCCTGGAGGGCTCCCCTGCCCAGCTGCCCATCCTGGCCGACATGCTGCTCTACTACTGCCGCTTTGCCTCCCGCCCGGTGCTCCTGCAGGTCTATCAGACAGAGGTAAGCCCGTGAGGCTCTTCTCCCAGACCCACCAGGTGCCAGCTGTGCCCTGCTGGGCATGCAGACCCCTACTCCCATCCCCTGGCATGAGTCATGCTGGAGAAGCCAAGTGAGTCTGCCCCTCCCGAGAGATCCCACCGACTCTTGTGCTGCTTCCTTCTCCAGTTGACCTTCGTCACTGGGGAAAAAACAACCGAGATCTTCATCCACTCCCTGGAGCTGGGTCACTCCGCTGCCACGCGAGCCATCAAGGCTTCAGGTGGTTACTGCCTGCAGGGTGGAGGCGGAGCCAAGGAGGGCGGGGCTCTTGGAGCGGGCCCTGAAAGGGGCGGGGAAGGGAGCGTCCTAGGGAGGCGGGGCTACGGGGTCTGAGGAGCAGCGAAAGGGGAGTGCAGAGTGTGTCTCTTTGGCACAGGTCCTGGCAGCAAGCGGCTGGGCATCGATGGCGACCGGGAGGCCGTCCCTATAACACTACAGATTATTTACAGCAAGGTAAGACTCTTTGCCGGTCTCCTTCCCTGCGGAGTCTGCTCTGATCCTTCCTCCCCGAGAGCTTGGGCCCAAACGCAGCTCCGCTGTTCCCGCGCTTTGCAGCAGCAGGCCCTCCCCTGCGCGCTGAGAGAAGGTGGCTGGGGAACAGGCATCTCTCCCCTTTGGCTCCAGAGCTGCCCAAGGCAGCGGGTGCTGGGGCTGAGCGGCCCGGCTGTGCTGCCTTGCAGGGGGCCATCAGCGGAAGGAGCCGCTGGAGCACCGTGGAGAAAGTCTGTACCTCTGTCAACCTCAACAAGGCCTGCCGGAAGCAGGAGGAGCTGGGTGAGTGGGGCGGCAGGAGATGGGGGCAGCATGGCAGGGAGGGCTTCTGAGCCTGGCTTGAGCCCCACTTGACCTTCAGACTCCAGCATGGAGGCCCTGACGCTAACCCTGACAGAAGTGGTGAAAAGGCAGAACCCCAAGTCCAAGAAGGGCTTTAACCAGGTAAATGCTTCCCATTCCTCCCAACCACACCCTCCAGGCGTGCGTGTGTGCATGTGTGTGTGTGTGTGTGTGTGTGTGTGTGTGTGTAGGTATGCATTGTACATGTGTGTAAGAGGCAGAGCGGGCATGTCCATGGCAAGGCCTGTGAATGGGCCTGGAGAGGCATGTGAGGGATATGGGCCAGGGCAGTGCAGTGCATGCACAAGCATGAGTGTTGGGCATGTCAGCGAGGGAAGGGTGTCCTGTGAGAGGATATGTATGTGCAAAGAGGCTTGGTGGTCGCCACTAGGAGAGCCCTGAGTCCAGGAAGCGTGGGCTCCATGGTAGGGAGCCCTCTGACGGCAAGGGTGGATAGTACAGTCTCCTCTGCGGCACTTGCTCCTTCCAGGCTCTGGAAAGGGCAGAGGCCAGAGAGAAGGCAGGGCCTGATGAAGGCTTCAGGGCCTCTTCTCTGAGTTGGCCATTAGCCCTGACAGACTGCCAGCCTAACTCCCATCCCTTACTCCCCCAGAGCAGATGGGCAACTCTGAGGGAAGGAACGGCCAAGGGTGGTGGTGTTCTGTGGCTCAGGCTCAGGGTTTGACACAGGCTTCCCTTCCAGATTAGCACCTCACAAATCAAAGTGAACAAGGTACAAATCATTGGCTTCAATGGCTGCCCCTTTGCTGTGTGTCTGGACCAGGATGAGAGGAAGATTCTGCAGAGTGTGATCAGGTAGGTAAAGAGGACCCTGGTTTGGCTTTAGCAAAAGAGGGGTCCAGGAGGGTGGGTAGTTTCTGTTCTCCTGTTCCAGAGTCCTGGAGGCAGTGGGGGAAGGGCTGTCTGTATGTATCCTTGCCTTGTCCGACAGGTGTGAAGTGTCACCTTGCTACAAACCAGAGAAGAGCAGCCCACCACCCCAAAGACCTCCCGACCCCCTGGCCCAGGCTGCACCTGACCTCTGCTCCCTGCTCTGCCTGCCCATCATGACTTTCAGCGGAGCTCTGCCCTAGCTGGCCCTGGCACCAGACTGACAGGAAGCCCTGGGCAGGTTCCTCCAGATCCCTCTCTGGGACAGTCACTCTCTGTGGAGAACTGAGTGGCCCTGTGCTGGATCACGGTCTCTCTGTAGGCCTGCAGCAGACCACAAGCATGGTGGGAGATCATATCTGGAGCCTCAGACATCTGGGAACAGAGCAGACATGAGGAGAGAGTGGCATGAACACATGCCTCTCAGATTCCTCTTAGCAGAAGAAGAAAGAAGAGTTGGCCTTCACGGGGTGCTCTGGCCTGTAGTTAGGCCTCCTCTCTCAGCCCTTGGCTGGGCCCAGCCTTGCTTTGTCCAAGACGTGGCGTCTCTCTTTCTGAAATTCAGTCCTCTCTACTCTGGGACACAGGTGGGAGAAATCTGGATGAATCTTTTCTTTCCTGACCTTCAATACCATCTTTTCAGCTCCCATATCACATATCCCATCCACCCACCCGCACTTGCTGTCTCAAGTTCCCTGGGACCTCTGACAAAGCAGCACTAACATTTGTAACGTTTGACCTCTCTGTTATCAGGACCGGGTACACGTTCTGTCTTGAACCTCTTCCTGGATCTGAGATTCTGGGAACACAGAGCAGGCTTACATTCAGTAGCAGCTCAGTTGCTTTCTAGCTAAATAACCAGAGGAAGTTAGTGAAATTCTTTGAACCTGTATTTCCTCGGCACTAAAATGGGAGGGAAGTAAGACTTCCTTATAGTGCTGAAACTATAAACAAAGCCCCTTGCCCAGTGCCTCCCTCCTGGCAAATGCTCAGCAAAGGTTGGCATATTGCCCCTCCTAATGCTGAGTCCCTGTCCCCAGTCACAGGGATATGCGCTGCCTCGTGGATGCTTGTCACCCACTCCTTCCCAACCCCACTGTGAGGCAGAACTCAGACTGAGAGCGTAAGGAGTGATCAGCTCTACCTTCCAAAGAAGGAAGTGTGCTTGACAGGGCAAGAAGGGTCACCAGATGTTCTGCCTTCCATCTCTTCTCTGTCAGACTGGTCCCACTGCTCCCGCTCCCACTTCACCTGGTGCACACTGTGTGCACAATTTCAACCCACACTAGTTCACTGGCACCGTCCTGGCACCTGGGCAAGACCTCACATGGCTAGAGGGTGGAGGGACTGAATCACGAGCTTGCTCAGCGGCACGTGCACAGGAAATGATCAGCACATGACAGAACACAAGAGTCTAATATTTGAAGCTACCAGGTTGGCTTGGTTTGAGGAGTTGACACAAAGGTGGCTAGGGTGCCCGGGGAGGGCCGGACCAGCATTTGGGCCGGCACATGCGGGGAAAGTGATCATGGAAACAACCCTGGCTTCTGCGCTGGCCCCCTCCTTCCTGTCTTCTGATTCATTCTGTTCAAAATGTCCCAGGCTTGGGCTGGGGATTTAGCTCAGTGGCACAGCACCTGCCTGGCAAGCTCAAGGTTGTGAGTTCGATTCCCGGTACTGGGGGGGGGGGGAAAAGTCCCAGGCTTATCAGAGCCCATAAAATCCTAGCTCATGATTTCAGAGTGGACAGATCCACTCTGTCACCATCCCCCATCCCAGCCTTCTGTATTTTCAACCATCCAGAAGAGTTGTCAGCTGTGTAACTTTATCCCTTTCTATTGTGCAGACAAGTTGATCTACTACATGATCAATAAATGTACAGGAATTGATGTATGAAATTTAATATTATTGTCAAATAAAACTTAATTTTTCTGGTATTCAAGGACCTATCCATTATTTTGCTGCTCGACACTTAACTACTAGCTGGGCAGTTTACATAAATCACTTCCTACCTGACAGAACTAAGATTCTTGGGGGATTGTTCTATTTTTGTAATTTTCTACTTTATAGAAAATATATTTGTATAGTGTTTTATTTAAGCCTCGTGATACACACTAGCAAAATATCCTATACCTAAGGACTCAATAGTTGGGCTTTCCTGTGTAACTTCACTTGAGAAATGGAAGCCTGTGGATACAGGTCCTTGCACACCAGTCCCAGAGAGAGGGTAGGTTTGAGGTACACTGTTGCTGATGGATGTACAGACGACTCTGCACCTACCATGCAACTGAGGGGAAGGGAGATCTCAACAGTGGTCCTCCCTATCTGAGACTTCTTTCACACTTGGGTCAAGGGAAGGAGAGATGCACAGGTGTTAGGATAGTGGAGGACACCCTTGACTTGGGAGAGGCAGGTAAGGACTAGGTCCCAGAGAACCTGCTTGGGATAGAGAAGGAACTGTGAGATGCTCCAGTTCTGTGTCAGCTAGCTATTGCCAGCAATGAGACACACCTAAAACCCAGTGGATTAAAGCTCTGAACATTTATTCTTGCCATGGAGCTATTGATATCTAGGAATCACCTGATCTAGGTTGGGCTTAGAGTGGGTCTGAGCTACAGGTTAGGTCCAGATATGCTCTGTGGGTCTCCCAGGTGCGTTGGGCCAGCACACTAGAACACACTAGAACAAGATGGGTGAACAGACATGTAATGCCTCTAAGGGCTGGAGCTGGAGTTGGAGCAATACCTCTGCTGCCAAAATCCAGCTGGCCAAAATTGACAGAATGCATCGACCCATAGAGTGGATAAGCTTGTTGCATCTCACACAGGACAAAGCAAATCACATGAGAAGAGGACTTCAACTCATTATTTCCAAGGCCTCTTAACTTCAGTTGATTCATGAGAAAAACCTCAGGTAAACCTTGACCGTAGGGTATTCTACAGCATGACCTGGCCATACTACTCTAGGCTGGCAGTGTCATGAAATGTAAAAAAAGACTATGAAACTCACATGTCTAGCAGATTGGGAAAACCTGAAGCCTAAACGCAGAGTGCAACCCTGGACTGAATCTTGAAGCAGGACAAACTGACAAAATCCAAATTAGGTTTGGAGTTAAGTTTTTAACGCATACAACCTTCATTGTCAAATTCCTGAAGGAAAAAAAAGTAAGGGGAAAAATCTTAAAAACAGCCAGAGAGAAATGAAGTTCCAAAAGTTCATCTAAGAGTTCCTTTCTCGACAGAAACAGTCGGGGCCAGAAGACAATGAAATGATGTCTTTAAAGGGCCAGAGAAATAATTGCCCACCTAGAATTTTATTTTAATTTCATTTTAAACTATGTACTACTCATAAGAGCTACTCTTCAAATATAAGATTACTCAGAGGCTGAGAGCAAAATAATGGAAAGGATAGCACCAGGCAAACCTGATCAAAAAGCCGATGTCAGACAAGGACTTAAGCCAAGAAGCATTATAAAAATAAGGAAGGACATTTCATAAAGATCAAGGAGTCAGTCGAACAAAAAGATAGTAGAATTAGAAATCTGTGTGCACCCAATAACATAGAATTAAACTATGTGAAGCAAACATTGACTATAGTAAAAGTCTGCACAACACTAGTGAAAGACTTTAACATACCTCCCTCCATAGCTGATAGAGTAGAGGTAAAGAAGACCTGAGCATAGTAATTGGTAAATTTGATTTCACTGAAATAGAGCACTATGCCCAACGACAACAGAATTCACACTATTTTCAGATACAAGTAGAATATGAGATATCAAATGACAGAAATCAAATGGGTTTTTTCTCTGACTACAGTGAAATTAAACTACTAGTGACAAAAATATTACAAGAAAATCCCAACTAACATTTCTAAATAATCCATGAGTCAAAAAAAAAAAAAGAAAAAAGAAAAATCAGAACTAGAAAATACTTTAAATTGGTTGATAAGACATGATATTGAGCTGGGGGTGATGACACATGCCTGTAATCCCAGCCCTTGGGAGGTTGAGGCAAGAGGATTGCTGCAAGTACGAGGCCAGCCTGGGCTACAAAGTAAGCCGGAGGCCAGGCTGACCTGCATAGCAAGACCCTGCCCCAAAAAGACCAAAAAAAAGTAAAAAAAAAACCATGATATTGAAACTAAAAGAATGCTAATGTAATGCTTAGAAGGAAATTTATCCTGGATATGGTGGCACTCACCTGTAATCCCAGCACTCAGGAGACTGAGGCAGGAGGATTGCTGTGAGTTCAAGACCAACCTGGACTACATGGTGAGACCTTGTCTAAAAAAAAAGAAATTTATTACCATAAAAAGCATTATTTTATAACAGAATAAAGGCTAAAACCAATCATTCCTATCTCAAAAAAAAGCACAAGAGCAATATATCAATGTTAAAGAAAGTAGAAGTAAAGAATTAAATGTTACAGCCGAGGGTGGTAGAGCATGCCTGTAATCCCAGCACTCGGGAGGCTGAGGCAGGAGGGATGTTGTGAGTTGGAGGCCAGCCTGGGCTACAAAGTGAGCTCAAGGTCAGCCTTAACTGTATAGCGAGACCCTGTCTCAAAAAGACAAAAAAAAAAGAATTAAGTGTTACAGCAGAAATGATTGACCTAGAAACCAACATACAAATTAATAAAAAGCCCTAGCAAGGCTCATGAGAGGAGAGAGAATGACGAATGAAAAAGAGGACATCTCTGTAGATCTTAAAGATATTAAAAAGATAAGAGAATTTTATAACTAAACAAATAAATTTGACAATCTGGATAAAGTGGAGAAAGCGATCAAAATATAATTTTCCTATTTGAGAGAAGAAATGGAAGTTCTGAGTAATTCTTACCCTTGCTTCTCTACAAACACGCTATTATTTCCCTCTTCCTTCTTTCAGGTTTTTGTCTTTCATTTTCTGTACTTATAATATGTCTAGGTATCAAACTTTTTTGAGATGGTATCTAACTATGTTGCTCAATTTGCCCTAAAACTTTTGGGCTCAAGAAATCCTCCTATCTCTGCCTCTTGAGGAGCCGGGATTATAGGCCACACCACCCCAGCTGGCTATAGATTTTTTTGCTCTTTTTCATCTTTCTTGGTGTTCTCAGAGCTTCCTGGCTCTGTGGTTTGGTGTTTGTCATTAATCTGGGGGAATTCTTAGCCATTACTGTTTCAAGTATTTCTTCTGCTTTTCTCTCTCTTTTCCTACTTTTCCAGTTATGTGAATAAAAATACCCTTTGTAGTTATCCCACAGTTCTGGAATATTCTGTTCAGTTTTTTTTCTTTCTCTCTTTCTTTTTTCTTATTGCAGATCAGTTTTAGAAGTTTCTATTACATTTCTTCAAGGTCATTGATTCTTCACTTGGTGACACACAGTTGGTTGATTAGCCTTCAAAGGCATTCTTCATTTCTGCTACAAGCCTTTGGTTTTCCAGTAGCTCTGATGGGTTCTTTCTCGGAGTTTCCATTTGTCTGCTTACACTACTGCAGGTGCTCTTTACTGATTGCCCACTTTTTCTATCACAGCTCTTCTCATGTTAATTTAGTTGCCTGTCCCCCCTAGGCTGTGGCCTGTGGCTTCTGTTTTCCCCTCTTAGGTGACACAGGATGGCTAGAGAAGGCTACTGTTAGGTCCTGCCCTTCTCCCACAGAAGCCAAGAGTGGGCTGGATTCAAAATTTCCCTCCCTCCAGGTCAGTTGGTCTGCTAAAATCCCAGTTAGGCTTTGGTCCAATAGTTTTTCTTCAGGGGAGGCCTTGTTAAGGGCATAATGCAGAATGGCTATTTTCCCTTTCCCAGTGCTGGAATCATGAGGGAATTTTTCTCTAATCTTCACTGTAAGAACCTTGTAGAGTTCCTAAAGGTAAAACTCCTAATGGTGTGGGACCCTGGCTGGGTCTCCCTGCAGTTTGTAATTCTGAAGCTTGTCCACACTGAGTTTCCAGTGTTTTACCAAGTACAGTTTAAACTTTCTTAATTGTGGTATTGGTTTGTGTGAAGGTTTCTGCTCTTGGCCTTCAGCTCCAGTAAGTTGTGACTGTGTGTGTCCATCTTTCTAATATTTGGAGTATATTTGTCCTACGACTTCAGTTTTTTGTTGAATCCAACAGGAACTGTTGATTTTCAGTTTGTTTCCCTTTTTACATGATATTAAGATGAGAACAACTCCTTAAGGAAGGACTGGAAATCAGAAGTCAAGGCATCATTTTAACAAGGAGGAAGAAGAGGAGGAAGACATAGAGCAGGAGCAGGAGGAGGGAAAGGAGGAGGAAAATTACAGGCTCTAATAGATTTAACCACGAAATTTTCCAGCTATATTTTCATGCCAGCATAAGCTTTCATATTAAAACATTGTAAAAAAAAGTTACTAGAAGAGAAGATTATTGATTGACCTCCTTCATAACTTAGTTTCAAAAATTCTTAATGAAAAGTTAGCATATTGAGCAATTATTATATGTGAACAGGATAAGATTTATTCCAAATAAATAAGGATGGCTTAACAATAAATAAATCATCTTTATAGCATCATGAAGTGAGGATGTTGACATATCTTCTTAACAGAAACAAGACAAGATCTTTTATATAAGACTTAAAACCCAACAGAGGAATTAAAGTGAAATACTAAAAGTTTATTGGTCAAAGAGAAGAATAAAGAAATAGAGAAACAATAAAAGATATGAGACAACAAAAAAACCAATCTACTCAAGTCTTTCTTTGACCCTTGAGCCATGCATACATGCTTTGGTTTAGACTCAGAGAATCTTGAAGATAAAATAAAATGAACTAAATTGAGATTTCAACTGCTTCCTATGGAAGATGTAAAGTAGACCCTTGACTTACAAACTCAATTCATTCCCGCAGGCTGGTTGTACCTCAGGTTGTAAATTGAAGGCTCAGGCTCCTCTACACAGCCTTCAAAGTCTCTCTCCTGTATATGGGAAGATTTCAG